TTTGGGTTTCCCACACACACACACACACACACATTTTCCTGCACAGCAAAAATGCAAAAACACGACTTCTTAACCTTACCTTCGCAAACTGAGATCACACTTGCTCACAACACTTCCCCACCAGACAATACTTTCACGACCAGGCCTCACTGCAAGATTTGGGGCACCAGGCGTCCCAGCTGCAGGTTTCACCTCCATTACAGCCACGAGCACGCGTTGTGGCTGGGCAAGGAGATCCCTGTCGCTGTCACAGTGTTCCAGTCCCGGTCACTGCACCTTATGTCCACGTTGCAGGGCTTACGATGCGACACCACGGAACATCGCAGGAGGCGCTTTTCGAAAACTGCTCTGGGGCTGCTTAGCCTTCACAACAACACATCAAACGACCTGGAATGAATAGAACCCAACTACCTCTAAGTTCAACCGAAATCTTTAAACTTAAACCGCACCAATGTAATTCAATAGGTCGTCATTCTCCCTTCTGCCAGCGCTGCCTCGGTCGATGGCATCTCCGAGCCTGAGTTGAGCAGCGGAGGATTGTCGATGCTCAGCTCGCTTCAAGGGCCGAGCGGCCGTGTGTTGATGGTAACTTCGCAACCTGCACGGACGCTCTGCAGAACGACCAGTCTCCCACAGCGATACGAAGGGCAAACACATGCGCCTCAGGCGTCAAGGCCGGCTCGTCATCCGAGTCCAACACCTTTCCACGGGGTATCATCTTTCGGGAGGGGCGATGTTGGCCTTTGCCGAGCTGTTTGCTGAAGTCGTCAGCTCGCGAGTCTTTTGAAGCGTTGCAGAGCGTCGCCACCGTCTTTACAACTGCTTGGGGGCTTGTACCATCCAACAAAGCCGGAAGCTTTTGGTGGCGGGGCCTGGCGGGGTTTTGGCAGGGCCGGCCCCAAAATCTCTCAGCCGATTTGTACCATCCGACAATATCGAGCCGATCGAAATGCCGTAACCTGTTGGCACTGGCGGGGACCGTTTGAACTAGCCTGGACGCATGAATGAAACTGCCCAGGAATTGTTGGCGTGCATGCAAAGGGCCAAAGACGTGCTGCTAATCGCAGCCTAGACAACTACAGCCTTTGGCACACAAGTTCCGTTTGGCGGACTCCGTCCTAGCCGGCGTCGAATTCTGACCATTACAGGCCAGGACACGAACTGTACTGGGGGGCTGTCGGTCGGGGTGTTTTGCTGCGAGTTCTCACTACATGATCGTGAGTTACACGACGTGATACCCTCCCGTTATGGGCATCAATCGACTGGAATCGACTAGAACCCTACATATTTCATATCCTCAGAGAGGAGCGCTCGAACTCAGAGCAAATTAGATAAATAAAGGGGGGCCGCAAGCGAATCACTCGAGAGCAGCCGATCGCATTCAAGCACTTGCCAATGCCTGAGCCAGGTCTTGAAAGAAAAGATACGGGCCTCTTTTACAGCGACGTCCTACAATCGGAGCTTTGCAGATCTCGTTCCTTGGGTTGTGGAGTGTCAGTTTCTCAGCGACTTCGGCACGTGGAATATGCCAACTTGAAAAGCTAAGATGATTCGATTCCATCATCTCACAACAGAGTCCCGACTACGCCTCCGAGCGGGTCATGCCCGCACAGAGCCGGTGAAGCTCCGGTACAGACTTGACCTCAGTATCTGATTTTCGGAAACCCTTCGAGAGGAACTCATCTTCGGAGAACAGTCGGCGAAGTAGAAAGCTGCGCAACATGATTACATGCATTTCAATAACGCGGAAGCTTCCCTAGAAACGCAACAACACTCGCGTGAGCAGCACAAAACAGCTGGAGCAGCGAAGGCTCGGGACGGGTGTCCTAGGACGCCGAATAAGAAAACGTAAACGGCGCCAGATCTTGCAATGTTTCGCACCGAAAAACACAACGCTACCAAAGACATCGTGCGCACGAGCAGCCACACATTCAATCATACAACCTTTCACACTGCCGGTCTGCCGCCGGGAGACCACAAGACGGCCGTAGCGTGCTGCCCAAAGCGCCGCCAGACGTGGCCGAAGCGCCGCGCATGCTGCATTAAAGTCCTGCAAGCATCCGCAAGCTTGAGGCATCGACAACGGCTGGCTTTACATGGTTTACGCCGGCAAGAACCGCAGAACAAGCATTACGAAAGGACTAGAGCATCGGACACATTGGCTCTGACCGAAGCGTGCAACCCGTCACCTATGTCATGATGTCATACGGCGTCCCTCGCACCAGAGCACTGGCATCCGCCGTGCAACGTGCTGGGGCCGTGAGGGTGCGGGCAGCTGGCGGCTCCTCTCCAACGAGCACCTGCAGCACCCTCTGCACGGCTTCGTGGCCATACCTGCCGCAGGCAGCAGATTCCACATGTTTCCGTATTCCCCATTTGCTCCGAGCACCTCGTGATCGCCACATCGGCAAGGCGCCGACCCACGGCCGCTCGAGCCAGGCTCACCTCTCGGTCACAAGCTTGGAAAGGAATCGTGTCGAAGGTCTAAACACTCACTAAACCTCAGCACTTCGGCAAAAGGGTAAAACGCATCAGCAACCCTGGGCTGCTAGAATGCTAGAAGATCGAAGGCCCCATGCACGGCCTGGTCTTCTGGCGAAGAATGGACGAGTGCCTCGTTCGGGAATGTCTCAGTCTTGGAGCCGCACAGAGGCATTGGTGCTGGGAGGACTCCTGCCTTCGCAATGACGGGAGAGGCCGCCTGGTGGGAAAGAAGCTCCTGGATGCTGGCCTCTGCTCGGATGGGACACTAAGGCTCACTTAGATTTCAAGATGTTGAAATCATCGAAGGTGTGCTGAAAGTGAAAACTGTTTGTGCAAGTCTCCACAAAGTCTTGCAAGAGGCAGTTGTCTTGTCTGTGTCTCTCAATTCTCAACAGCAAGACCTGGAACATGTTCCCATGCCGAGCCGCCCTGAATGATTGACAGAGGATGTGCTGCTGCGCACGGGAGCCTCAGTTACATTTGCTTCAAGCCAAGTCTCACACCAAGCCTGTGGCCTCGACCCAGATATGAAAGCTTTTGACAGCCGTCGGCAGCATGCGGCACTAAACCCAGCAAATTATCGGCCCACCACCTTTTCAGAAAGCCCGTTGCTCCATACCTCTCCAACCACTGTTTCTCTTTTCCTATCTTTTTCGCTCTGGGCTAGGCTTATTTTGTCTTTCGCAGGGGTTGAAGCTAGGGGAACGACCCCTGACCTGTGCCGGCGCGCCCCCGCCTGTTGCGGGTGCCCTCAGGAATTCGGCTTCAGAGGCAAGATCCCAGTTCACAAGGCCAACCGACAAGTTCAACCTTCAACAGCACATACTCATACGGAATGTTGGCCACTCAACCGTGACATCAGCTGCTAGCTGCTGCTTGTCTTCTTCTCCATGGCATAAGGACGACCCTCGGGCACAAGGGCCCCACTTACTTCAGGAGCTCTGTGGGGATGTTAAGAAACTCAGGCATTTTGCGACGAATAGGACAATGAGCGGCTCAACTGCGCGGATATGTGCTTCGAATTGCTAATTCCCAGTACATGAACCTATCTCACTCTCTTTCATTTCGCTAGGGTCGACAGGGACTCGCGCTCACTCTCTCTCTCGCTCTCTCTCTCTCTCTCTCTCCCGCTCTCTCTCCCTGTGTCTCTCTTTCTTCACTTCACTTCACTCCGGAGTTCAAGAAGCTGTTAAGGCTCCCCCTGTTGTTGGGCCTTGTGGGGGAGAGTGAGACCCCACGCTAGCCTGTAAAAAGATATGCTTCCCCGGTCAAAGGACAAGTACAAGCGCAGATAAGCAATCTAGCGACAACTTCACTTCGGGGTCCCCCTATCTTCGTCGGCTTTGGGTGGTGCCCTGGCTGCTTGGCAGGTTGGTGTGTCTCCCCTGTTGAGGCTGCTGCGGATGTGTGTCCACGGTAGGTGAAGGAACATCTGGCAGGCTGCAGTTCGGTAGATGTTGTTCAGGTGTGCGGCTGGTGACATCCATTGTTGCTTGTGTCGTGGAGCACTGTTGGCTAGCTTCTGGAGGGGGCATCGACTGTGTCTGCATAGAGTCTTTTGCGCTGGTGTTGGGTGCTCCTGCGCCGGCTTCTGGCAAGATGAGCTCCCGGGATCGTCAGATGTAGACAACCGAGGAGTGGAATATGGAGTGTTGCGGGGGTCGTCTTTGGAGTTGTATAGCCTTGCATAGCCCACCTGGTAGCATAGCATTCGTGGGATCTGTGCCCCCTGGGTGGTATGCCATGGTTGCTGTGAGCCAGCTGTTGTCTGTTGTGTGGCATGTGCCGAAACAGGTGTGATTGGCCCCTGGTGTGGTAGCTGCGCTGCTGGGATCTGCGGAGGATGCTGCCGTGTAGAGAGGAGTTTGCTGCCGGCCGTGTGGGTGTAGACACTGGCTGTGGCAAGCCTGGTCCTCCCTGCTCTGGTGTCGAGGGCTGCAGGTGTGGCTGCTGAGGCTGGTTGTGTATTTGGCATGGCAGGGGGAGGTAAGCTTGGGGGACCCCCCTTGTTGTTGAAGAACGGCGTTAGGGGCCGTGGCAAAGCCTCCCCATGTGGTGTGTGGATTGCCAGGTAAGGTGCGTCTTGCTTGCTTGCTTCTACGGTGTCTCTCTCTCTCACTTTCTCCTTCTCTGTCTCAAGCCGTTTCTAGGAGAGACAAAGAGAGAAAGAGAGAGCGAGAGAGAGAGAGAGAGGGAGAATTTTGTCCTTGACAGATACAGCTCCGCTTCCCCTACTAGCTTCTTCGTGCGCATCGAGACAGGTTGCCGTATCGCAGGAGTTGCTGCATGACCTCGGCACGAGGCGACCATGCTGCCTGCACAATGTTGTGTTCTAACCTCCAGGCGAGAAGACGATCCCAATTTGGAACACCTGACGTCTGAGGTAAAGGCAAAGTTTCCGTAGGCCTCATCTGCAAAGTCACGAATAAATTGTTGAATGACCACGTGCGAAAGCCACACAATGAGTGGATTGTGTGAAATCTTTATGCCTTCAAGGGGCATGACGTGCCAGAGGAAGTGCATCGGACATCAAGATGTTTGCCACTGCCTCCTGTGTCTCTACATCTCTCAAAGCAAAGCAACTGAGCGCTTCGTGGCGAATTTTTTATCCAAGGCTCCATCTGCTCCTGTTGACAGTGTTCAAGTAAACCTGAGTGAGCATCCACTCTGCTCTCTGGTTCCAGCTGAAAAATAAATCGCGAATGCTTCAAGGGACGCTGAATCACTCGGCATCCATACCTGAGTCGTTCAGCACCAACGACTGCACATCCTGCAGGCGAGGTGCCAAGACCTCCCTTTGCATGACGCCCTGAAGGCAATTGAGCGGCTGATGGCCTCGACAGCTGAGATTCACATCGACATGGGAACAGCATGAACAGCTTGAGATGTGAGTTGTTCGCACTGGCAGCCCAGCCACGGGCAACCTCCAGGACTGTTGCTGCGCCGGCCTTCGACAGAGGAATGACACGAGCACGCAGGTCGCACACCATCCCGTCCATCCCTGCCTGCAAGAGCTCATCAATGAGTGGCTGGCAGTCATGCGGTCTTAGCGTGGCCACCAGACGTTGCAAGACATGGTTGGCATTGGGCGACAGGGCTGCGGCCACGACCTTGCAAGGACAAGCATTGCACTTTTGTCACGAGGCGCCATCTAGAAAATATTCAGCCAGGTCGGCATGTCCGGAGAGCTCCTGCGCAATCTGCTTCCTCAGCTCGTTACCTGAGATACTGCGTGCGCTCTGCATGCTACCTGCCGTCTCCGTCTGGTGACACAGTGTCCAGACGCTACTGTGCAGAACCTACCTGCCTTAGGATAACCACATTCAAATTCAACGAATCCTGCAGCAAACTCGACCCAAACGCTAAAGTAGTGCCGCGATGCAAGCCTGATCGACGGCTTCCTGAACCTTCCTGCAACCCTTCTGCCTCCAGCGGCTTGCAAGGTGCGGTTGTGAACTGGCGGCGGAAATCGTCAAACTCTGTGACTTTTTCACTACACCCTGAGTCTGGGCTTGGTTGTTCCGTTTCTGACTAAGCTTGCCTCTGCGACAGCTGCCAGACCTTGCCCAGCACAGGCGATTCCGAGAAGTCGGAAGTGGTGCTTGAAGAATCGTCTGATGCGTGCTCACTGAATGCCTGGCAGTGCATCGTGCATCGCCGATCACCGCTTTACGGCCATGCTATTGCAGCCCCTCTCAATATCACAGAGTATGCTAAACACAGCAACGAGGCCGCGGCTGCAGCCACTTCATCCGAAGGGCCACATCCGACCGGTGAGAGCTCACGAGGGAGGATTTGGCTCTCGATCTGCTGAACAGGCAAGCCAACCATCACCACCGGAATCGCACACACCGAAGAGAGCATCGCGGGCATCGGCAATGCAGGCTGCAGAACCACTGGCATCATGGACGGAAGTCCGGGAAGCCCTGGAACGAAAGCCGGCATCTGAGTCATCTGCATGCTTGGAGCACGCAGTTGTCGAGACTTCGAGGCTATACGCTCGAGATTGTCCAATGCTGCGGATTGGCAGATAATGGCAACTTTACAGTTGGAAACTGCTGAAGCTCAGCACGAAGAATCTACACTTGAAATAGCATCTGCCTCAACTTCTCTTGATGGGTCTTTTCTTGAAAGCATTGTGGGCCGCGGGGCTCGAGCCCTTGCTCGAGACTCAAGGCTCCTATGCAGAGCAGACAGAAGGAAAAACCAGAGATCCGGGGTTGAAACTTCACGATCTCCAGCGACTAAAGATGCCTTCAAAAAAGTAACAGGCTGGCGGAAGGGGCGCTAAGCCTCGATCACGATATCTTCGAGAGTCTACGCGGCAGCAACCCATCCCTCTTGCTTCTTAGCATGCCAGTGCATAGCATAGCCGCAGGTGTGACCGAAGAAGCCGCCCGGCGCCCGAACGGAACTTAAAGTTATACGAGAGCTCCTTCACTCGAAGGAGGCTGCTCGAGCTTTGGCTGATGCTTTGGAAAGCTGCTGCTGCAGAAAACTCCTAAATAACAGATTGGACGTCATGCTCTCCGAGCTATGGCGATTTGGAGACCATCATGGTCTCGTACTTGCAATGAAAGCGTCGGCACGAAGCTCACTTAGAAGCTCTTGCCTTCCTTGAAGGTGATGGCAAAGGTGGCTGGAGAAGACCTACTCTGAAGTTCACGACGGGATCTTCCAGCAGTTGCGGCTCAGCGCGTACTCGCTGCAGCCAAGAATTCAGCCTTACGAGACTGCTCCATGACGACTGCAGTCAGAACCGTTCATCGATTCTTGACTAGTCTTGACATGCCTTGGTGCTCACCCTAGTATGTAAGACACTTTGAGGTACCAAGTGTGACCCACTTTCGCCACTAGCAGCGCTAGTGCAGGGTACGCACTTTGGGCTGCGCAGAGCTTGGACGAGAAAACTTCACTCGGAAGCCCTTTCGCGGCATAGCAACAGGAGGTACTTTCACTGACAAGTCTTGTGCGAACAGAAACGTGGGCAAACCGAACGATGGATGGCGCCTTACAAGTGCCTCACGACTGTTCAAGACTCCTCGGACCCTATCTGCTCAATCCATGGAGCTTCTCCTCGTGCTTGACCATCAATGACTTTCCCGGAGGTAGTGGATGCTGCGGTATGTCCACTATGTCCACCATCGAGCTGAAGCTAAGACGAGCTTCCTCGGCGACAGACCAGTGGAAGCAGGCTTTTTTAGTGGTAGGTTCTTCGGAAATCAGTCTCATACATGGAAGCGTTGGAGCAGTGTGCAGCAGCGATATACGGAAATAACGCAACAAAATAAAAAACTACACATAATCTCCCAGCATGCTCTGTATGTGAGTGGTTCCAAGGAGCACGATACTGCACGGAGGGCATCTCGTGTCCTTTGTCATCCTTCCACGTGCCCAGCCATGTAAGGTACAAATGGACAAGAACTTCCTCTGCTCCGACCGTTGCACAAGCAAGCCCCGTCCCGTACTCGCACTGCCCAGCGGTCACCGAGACTGGTTTCACCAGACCCTGCAACAAACCGATGCTTGCGCAACTGTTCCAGACAGGACTGCAGCTAGCTGAACAACTCACCAGGCGCCTGGAGCCACGACACTGCCACCACAACCCATGGCTAGGCCTGAAGCAGCAATGCTCTGCTTTGTAGCCTGTGGTTTCTTCTGTGGGGTGACAAGGTAAGCTCTTGTGCCTTTCGCCACTGATATACACCCAGGTGATCAATCTCTTGTACGTCTCCAGACCTACTACAACGAAAAGTTAAACTGCTCTTCACCGCAGATTCTTGAAATCAACTCCAAATTCAAGTCTGCCCCGGCCGAGGCGGTCAGAGGTTCTGACTTACGATTCCTCGTCATGCGAAGCCGAGCGCCCGACATCAGAAGATACTCACAACATCCAACATCCCTCTGTATGCCCCGGTCCCGTGCCGCCTTTGTTTGTGGAGCGCGCGCTGCGTCAGCCACCAGAGATGTCAAGAGGCAAGACTTTGAGCCAGCAAAAAAGTCCGTGCGACACGGGTGGCTTTGCATGGCTGCTTGTCTCCCTATGTCTGATGGTGCTTCGCAGCTTTCTCTCTTCTTGCACTCGGTTTCCACGTCCCCGGCCTCGGCAGAGGCAGAGCCCTCCACCAGCGGCACCTGACAAAGAACACCAACAACACACCTGCAGACCGCAGGCATTCTAAGATCGACAGCACCAAAGTTGCATGTGCACTGTGCGCATAGTCCTGGATGCTACCATGCATGATTGAAACAAAAGCTAGTCTTGCCTCATCCTTCGCAAAGGGGCGGCTAGAATGATCCGGGCCGTACCGGGCCCTTTAGGTACAACAAACACTGATCAAGTCCGCTCCGCAGTTTCATCCGCAGCTTCGTTGAGGCAGGATGCGAGTGCCACACTCCCTGGATTCAGATGGAAATCGATGTGTGAACATAAGCGAAAAACTGCAACAATCCGGAGCGAGCCCCTTGGTCCATGGATGAGGACTGTACACACTTGCACACACACACACACACACATGATGGCTCGAAGGTGCAGAAACTGATGCCACCCAGACATCAAGAGCCATCAAGCCCAGGTGATGTATTCTTGGAAGGAAGCGTTTTCGACCCGAAACACCGAAACGTGTTCTCCACAGCACAAACTTCTCCAGCTAGCCGGGATCCAGACAGCAAGCAGCGAAGATGAAACAGGTTCTGCAGCAGGAGACTCCTGCTGAGCGCAGGGGCCGGGGCCAAGTCTGTCAAGGAGCAGAGATGGTACTTTGGAAAACGAAAGACGGGCAAACCTCGAACAAGCCACTGGAAAGCCCATGCCCTTGCACTGAACCCGGGTCTCCGCCTAAACCCATCCCGGCAAGGCTTGCTGACTGGCTTGGAGTACTGGGATCGATGCTCCGATTGCGGAGGCTTGCGAAGTCTTCCCAAGTGAGCTTCTTGCACAACTGAATTCAAGCGCACTGCACTCCACGAGGCCTCGTCGTCAGAGAGGATCTCCATCACTGCGGTCTTAATCCGTCAGACAGGCAGCGCAACTCCAGCCCAAAACCCCGACTGGACCTGGAGCCAAAGCTGCAATATGCTGCAATGCACACTTCCCAAGAAAAATCGCCTGGGGGTTGCGGCCCCTGAGGCCAGCTGCATAGAGTAAGACCCCTGATGCTCCCTGAGGCCAGAAACCGTTGGAGGCCCCTCTCCGGCCACTCCAAGAACCTGGGGGTGTGGACTGAGACCCGCAAACGCAAGGCCTGGACCGAAACAGGTGCCGCACGCGCTCTGGACGCAGTACCTCAATTCACAGCAGGCAGGCAGGACAAAAACCATTGATGTATACATTGCTCTGTTGCATCATCAACCAGGTGGGCAATTGTGCCAGCCCTGTCCTCCCACTCCCACTCAGTCCCATTCCACACCAGTCCCATTGCACACCAATGACGACACTTGCTGCCAGGCATCATGATCAGGATGTACAGCGAAGCAAGGCCTCGGAGCATGACTGCCTTGCATGCGCGGGCATCTTTGCCCTTCCGTCGCTGCTCTGCAGCGACAACTCACGGAGTCGGATGCTGACCTCTTGCAAAATGGAGTAGCGGTCGAGGCGAAATCCAAATCTCAGGCCAACACAGGCTCCGGGGTCCCATCCTCGCAGGAGATCCATCCTCATTGAAAGGACAGATTCAAGAACCAGCAAGTCTGGCACTTTTGCAGAAACAGTCGCGCGCTCTGCGCCAGAGTCACCAGAGTAGCTACAAAGCTGGACGCGACGCAAGACCCAAAGGCACACGATCCAGCCCGAGGGGACGAGAAGCTGGCTTTGTTGAGGGTCGCTGCGCCAAGGCCGCTGTCAGCGAAGTTGCCGCTACTGCCACAGCAGAATCCTCACTGGCACCACGAGACTGCTCGACAAAACGTCAACTCCAACTTCATTGCTTCATAAACTCAGAAATTGATCCGTTCGGCTAGACTCGAACCTACTATGTAAAGCATTCCAAAGACAAGACCCAACATTCTTCACCTGGGCCCTGGCAATGAGCGAAGCTCGACCCATGCTGGAAGGTAAGCGCAGGGGCAAAGGCCATGTCTCCTGAAGCACAGAATGAACGGATTTCCTGCTTACCACACAAGAACGAGACATGTAGCTTTGCGGATGTCTATGCTACTACAGTCCGCTGAGTCCGTCCGTTCTGAATGCTGGCAGCGTCCCCACATGTGTGCGCTTGGCGACAACCCTGAGGCCTGCGGACCGGAGGCCATGGCTTTGCTTCTAAAGGCATCTGCGGTTGCTGTGTCTCCGAACTACCAGGTTCACATCACGCCTTCACTGATAACGGCCGTGCTTCCGGATTTGTATCTTTCCAACATTCAAGCAAAGAGATGCTAATATAGGCTGGAGCAGCACAACAAACAGAACTGACCCCTCTTAACGTAAACCTGCATGCCTCGGCATACACGGCGTACAAAACCACGGCATCTACTGGACAGTCGGCCCCATCCTCGGCCTGATGTTTAAGAGCGGCCTGTCAAGGTGCAGTGCTTTCGATTTCGCTTTATGGTCAAATCACCGTCGAAATGTCCCCAGATCCGAATGTCCAAGCGGCTAGGATGACTATGATGCATCAGTCAATATCAGTCATTGGATTCTTGCTGCTGCCCCGGTCTTGAAACCAGTTTGCTGACAGGGTGGGTCAGTGGCGGTGTTAGTGCTCGTTTAACCCTACCAGCTGAATCCGAAAAGCGAAGGCATGCAGAAGAGCCTCAAGTAATGCAACAGAAAAGAAGACAGTCGGGGTAAGCTTTGGATTCCTGAAGCTTTCAGCCTTTCATGCCGAGCCAAGGGAAGCAAAAAAGCCATGCTGGCATGAGCTACAGTCTCATCGTAGATACAAGGCACTCTTTTGCGTTACCAGATTGGGCCCTGTCTCCACATGCCCGTGATCAAAGTTTGGACCACAGGATCCATCCAAGCAGAGACCGGCCACAAGATTCTTGGCTCGAGGTCATCTATGCTTCGATGTGGGACTTGGAAACACTTCAACCGGCATGCGTAGCTTCAACGTAGCCTTCTTTCACTAGCCCGCTCGTCATTGTCGCATGATGTTTGCGGGCTTGCATTGACAATGGCATACCGGCAGTGACGCGGCCATAGTGCGCAAGCTGCAGAGATCAGCAAAAGAGGGAGTAGTCCGGGCAGGTTGCAATGTATGATGTCATGCTACATGATACAATGTCACTCTTCATGAGACCAAGGAAGAGATTCAACAAGTGAGAGGGGCCCGCAAGGTTGCAAGGCTCAAGTTGCTCAAGCCTCCAGCTGTCCTTCACATCGACTTGCTACTTGGGGCCATCCTTTCCTGCGAGGTAACGAGAATCTGAGAGGGCGGTCGACCGCGCGACCTCTGCATCTTGTCGCAGCCGGTGAGGTACGGCCAGGGACATTCAAGATGCTGAGGGAGCAATCTTCCCCCAGATCAACACTAGAAGCTACCGTGTGGAAACGGGATCTTGACTTTCCACGATACGTCTATTCGATAGAGCAGGTTGTCAAGATCGCGCTTGGCATCCCAACTATGTAAACTATTTACAAAGCTCCTTTTGTCGCGAATCCGGCGAGAATGTCGTCTGCCGCTTCAGCTCTTCACATATGACATTCGCCGGATGCTGGAAAGAACCACGGACTCCCTCGCGAGCATGTGCCAATTGTACGTGTATGTGCCTGTGCAAGCCAGTGAAGACCGGCACCTCCATGGCATCTCGGAAGGGTCCCAGTGGTGCTTGTGAATCCTCCTTGGGGAAGGAGGAGTCATCGCGAATCCATGACTGCGAGCAGGCCACAGCTACACGCTAGCTGCGGAGGGTCTCAAGACGGTCATGAACCTGCAAGCCCACGAACACCTCTTGAGGCATCCTATCTGGCTGAAGGCTGTGCTTCAGCAACAGCCAGCTATGAGAGTGGATTGGGGCACCGGCACAAGGATGTGCTGGCCAAGCTGAAAGACTCACAGGCGGCATGCTTGCTTGTCGTGACCATATGTGACCATAAGACAAGTCCCTAGAATTTGCCCGAGAACTACAGAACCAGACTTTAGTCGCATCACCACTTCACGTCGCCTATGAGATCAGACACCTTCGGCGTCTCCACAGTGGCAGGGAGCCCTGTAGGGCTAGCGATGAGCCTCATGCTGAGGCTACGATGACTAAGGCAAAAGAGAAACCTACGGCTTGGGCCCTTCCCTAGTGGGGCAAGCTCCCTGCTGATCAACACTCCGTTCGGAGGGAGGAAAACTCCGGAAACGTGGGATCGTCTCACTTCTAGCAACCTTGCCAAGTCCTAAATCAAGTGCCACATGCCAATACCCCACGATTCCTGGACATCCTGGCCAAACCAGGAGCAAGGCGTGCCAATCGAAAGTGAGGGACTGAAGCATCACTTCATGAGGCATGAAAGAATTTCAGCATGCGAGTTTCGAGTTTACTTCACGGGCACGAATCAGGATTGAGACCATGCATGGGTCCTTTGCAAAGCGTGCGGCACGTTTCTGCCCGCCCGACAGCTACTATTGGAGGGTAGACCAGCTGGATTCAGAACACCAGTTTAAAATCGGCAGCAGCATGAAAATCCGTGGGCGACACTTCGCAGCTTGACAACGGTGCATGTCTTTGCGGACTTACATCACGACTTCGACGCCCACGCTGGCTGCTGGAAGGTTGGGGATAAGGCTTCCTACACTGCGGTCAGTCTGGCTTGAGCACCTGACCATGGTCGCAGCGTGTGCCGTTTTAAAGCTTGCCTTGTCCGGCCCAGCCTGCGAGCCGCGTTCGCAAAGGCGAGGGCAGCGCGAGCTCCGCCACCGCAGAGGTCCTAGTAATTCCCGTGCTGGACGGCTCGGCCATGTTGGGAAGCGATGGCCACTGGGTTCTGGGTCGCAAGCCGCTTCAATGACCGTGCCGCCTCGCAGACATGTACAGCAGCACAGATGCAGACAGAGCGACTACAGCAAGAGCAGTTCACACGATGTTGGAAGGCATTGAAGGATCACCGGTGCATGGCATTCGAGTGGAGCCGAGGCCTCCTCGAGAATCTCCGGCGCAGAGGCCTCGTTCCGTCCTGAAAAGATTGATGCTCAACCCCAAGCCCGAACACAGGCCCTCCCAAGCGCGCTTGCCGACGTTCCCTCAAACTTAAGAGGTACCGACACACCAAAGCAAGTTCGTGCCTTTCGAGCAGGCATCTGGCGGAAGTTTGCGCTCGATCTCGGCAGACATTTTGCCCAACCCAAGTTTTCTAATATCTGGTGAATGACGTTTGCGCAATCGCTCAGGCTGTACATACAATCACCAGTCATGACTTGGCTTCGATGAGATGGCAGTCGGTACTCGATGCTGTAGGTTTCTGTGTCCTTCCACCAAAGAAGATAGATTTCTGTGCTGCCCCTGCATCTGCTGCACATATTATTGCTCCGACTAAGCCATTGCGAACACGCGTCGGAGAACAATCCATTACATCATCCAAGGTCCGTAGAGTGAGGCGGCTTAGGGCTAGAATTAGATGCTGTATCGGAACATAATCCAGCGATCGCTCGGAGAGGTATATCTTCAGCACTTCTGACATTACGGGGCAACATCGTATATTTCATGTTAGTTTGGGTCCTGCTCCTAGTCCTAGTTAGTAGCCACGTGCCGGGACCAGGACTGAGAGGCTCTGCCACTCCCCGAAGTCCTGAAACCTGATACACGGGCACCAAGTGCAGCAGACAGGCGGGTTCACATTGCAACTCTAGGCGTTCACTAGCAATGGAAACGCATAAGTGTGTTGGATGGTGCGGTCTGAACCACCCCACGGACATGTTCCTTTCCGGCAGCCCAACTCATTCCAACCCTCGGCATTTCATGCAAAAAGCTGTCTTTTGAAAGCATATCGCTATCGGTGGGAGTGCACGTCCACAAGTGCATCGCCTTCAATCACCGCTTGACCTCGCAGTGCAAGTCTGTCAAAAGGCGCACTACTCGCCTAAATCCAACACCACCTTAACCCACCCGTCCGCTTCTCGGGACCCGAACCACCGGCGCCTGGAGAAGACGCGGGAGTGCAGACTACTAAAGGACGTGTGGTTGACAGTAGCAGCCGGCGCTGGCATTGTCGAATAGCCGCCAGCCGTGAAAGTGCCAGCAAATGGGAGTTAAAGCGTCCATCAGCAACACACTGCAGGCTGCCAGGGCAGAATCGAGGGCCGAGGTATCAGAGAGTCGTGCACGAGCAGGAGGCCAAAACCGTGTTGGCGACCATCAATCGATCGCAGGGTGAGGTGTTGACGACACTTAGCTGCCGGCCCGCTTAACTCAGCCCCGAACGGCCTCCAAAGAGGGGGGAACCGGGGGAGAGGGAATAAAGGGAAACAGGGAGGCATTTCACCACAACCCGAAAGCGCCAGTCGGGATGGACACTCACCCTCTGTAGTTCGTAGTGCGGCGTCTGGCGGAAACCACAGTCGTGGGTAGTTCATGCTTAATGGCTTAATGTACATCGAGGTCTGACGAAGTATCGAGCTCTTGAGAAGCGCTGCGATGATTTTGCAACACGCTAAGTCCCAGTACTGGCAAGCTGAAGGTGCTTCGATGTACAAAACTTTGAAAAGCCATGGGTTCAAAGTTCAAGTAACAGCCGCAAAGACAACTTGGGGAGCTGATGCTGGCAAGCCACATTCTGTCTACGTGGCTTGCTACTAGACAGTGCGACGCTCGAGATCCGATGCCAGCCGGTCTAAAGGTGTGATTGTCTAGGTTATGTGGTGAAGCACAGATGGCACCTGCCTGGCCGCTACGCGAGAGCCCTCCACGTCCAACACGCGTCCCGAATTCCTGGTCAGATTTTGCACTTGCAGACATGCACGACGTAAACGCGCCACATCAAGCTTCATAATGCTGGAGATGACCTGGTCTCCTAGTTCAAGCTTGCAGGTGCCCAGGCTGTGCGACTGCAACGGCACTTTGCCTGCACTGGAGGTGGACCTCGTCCTTGCACAAAGGAGACAAGCAAGATATGAGGAGACCTGGTCCGAGAACCAGCAGACGGAGAGGACATCAGTTCCTGATATAAAGCTCGTCAAAGTTCATGCTCCTTGTGCCGCAACTGCCGCCGGCACCCAGGGTTTTCCTTCAGCAAAACCTTGGCGAGCAGAACTGTGCAGCTATGGCTTGGACTGCTATAGGAGTGCTCGGGAGCCACTGGTCCTAAACCAAGGGCAGTCAGAATCGGATAAGTCGAAGACTTGACGCGGCTCGGACTCACACCCGCCCCGTCTCATGATTGCCCGCGGTGGCTTTCAAAGCTATCAAAGCACGATCCACCGCATAAGCATGCCACAGTTAGCTCGCAGTTGATGCTGCTTCCAGGGCGGCAAAGCACCTGATTGAATGCCAAACTGCATAGCCTCCTAGGACAGCTAGGGCAACGGCAAGCCCAGCCCGAAGGCGTCCCAGTGAATCCGTCTACTACTGCGACTTGCCCTGCACGTTTGATTGTCTTGTGCCTGTTTTTCCTCCCGTGCTTCGTGCTTCTCACCTCACGCTCTTCCCCATCTTGTATCTCGTGTTTTGACTATTCTTGACAGCTACGAGGACCATGCTTATCACACCACCGCTGGCTTCGACTGCCATGACGACGACCTCCACCACCACCACGACGACGGCGACGACGATGAGAATGGACGAAAACGACGAGGGAGCGACAATGGACGACGATGATACCAATGCACTCACAAGCGTAAGCTCTTCATAGCACACTGGCGACAGGCCATCGAGAAAGCGAATGCTGTGCAGCACCACGAGAAAGGCAGCGGCCTTGCCGCCCATCGAAATACCCAGGGAAACGCCTTGGAGGCTTGCTGAAGACATGTCTGTGAAGACTCATGCTACTGGCATTCCACGAAGCGTGCGGCCATCTGATTCCCCGCCGGCTCTTCTGGCACATTGCTGTCTATGTTGCTTGGGTCAAAGCTTTGCTCCGAGAAAAGTAAAGAGAGCACTAGCTGCGACATCTGTGTTATCACGACTCGGTCTCTGCATCTTGATCATACCCTTCCCTGCCCTGGAACCGAGTCTCACTAAGTCACTGAGAGATGCGCCACTGTGCGCAAGGAGGCGAATCACGTCTCCGTCACGCACAGCACCGCTGAAGCCCGCCTTCAGACAGCGGCAGAGCTTCCGGGTAGGCCGGAAAGACTAGCTGCAACAAGCACCTGTACTGACTTGGACAATGAACAGTTTGCACAAGATGCTGTTCAAAATAGGCTCGAATGGACTTTCTAGCATGGATCCAGGGCACAGAGCTTGATGCCGGGCAAACAATAAACGTCTGCCAGTCGCCACCTTAGCCAGCCATGTCTTGCTCTCATAATAATGTCCGCCGACTCTCACCCAAGGCTGGTGGTGCGTGCCGCATGCCAATAAGAGCAGGCTTTACCGGCACAGCTTGAGACGCAGGCCCTCGAACCATCTCGCCGAGACCTCCAGCACTGGATGGCAAGGCTTAGATTGGAAACTCCGCCTCGTCTGCCTCTCGGAAAAACTCCTACAGTCGCGCTTCTGAGTACAAGCACCCTACCTTTTCTTTGTTCTTGCCACTGCATGCCGCCTGCTGATACCCCACGAACATCGTGACCGAAGGAGCCTACTGTACGGTTCGACAGGCGATGGTTTCAGCGCGTGGATGTGGCGTCTCGGCAGCGAGGGGAAACCAGGTCGTACGTGGCACGATAGAGTAAGGGCGATCTGCGAAACGCACTCGGCCCTTCCCCCGTCCCCCGACATCCTTTCCACCCCACTCCGTTCCCTTTCCCTTCTCTTTCCCTGCCTTGCTCCTCTCGACATCTACACACCGGCCACTTGAGCAGCGCAGGCAGACGGCATCGCCATAACGAACCTCTGCGTGTGCGGTTTCAGTAGACGAGATCCCTTCTGATGCAGACAATGCCCTTCAACAGACGACAAAAAAGCAAAGTCATTGAGGTCACCAACATGACGAGCAGCAAAAGGATCTTCGCTTGCAGCTGGCTCCAGCAACCTTTCCAAGGGATCCTTGAACTGCACAGCTACTGGCCCATGGACCCTCTCTCCGTTTTCTCACGGCTCACGTCTCCACTCCGCTTGCAGTCCTCGCCCTGGCCGTTCCATGCAGGCAAAGCGGGCGCCGTGCCTGCAAGGAGCGGAACTCACTGGTGAGCCACAAACTCAGCAGAAACAAAACGTGACCACTTCTGTTCACGACGCCGCCTTCCAGAAGGCCTTCTTGAAAGCAAGTGCGAAAATCCTCACCGCGATGCAAGCAGTGCCACGTGGCCGCACTCCAGGAAAGCTACACTCATGATGAGCACATCCTCGAGTTTGTTGACAGGGGCATGATGGCTTTTAGTTCTCCAAACTGAGCAGGCAGTTGTAGAAAAGCGGGGGGGGCAACCACCAACCGAGCCTCCCTCCAAGAGACTGAACGACACCCCGATGTGGATGCACTTTGATGCGTGAGGACAAGCCTGCCCACCACTGGGGATGGGCTTCATTCAAGTCCCGGCCCTGCGCCCTGCGCCGCAAGACCCGGCCAGTGGAAGACTCAGGCATGGCCTGGCCCGGTCGCCGAAAACTCGGAGGCCTTTGCCTGTCGCCCCGCATTTGCCACCCGCATGGTGACGACCGGCTGCAAGACAAGCTTCGCACTATCGGAACATATTCTCAGTGCACAGTAGGCTTAATGTCGAACTCAGCGCGTGGCCTCGGTTGCATGTGCCTTGTAGGGTTTATGACTTGAATGGCTGATGACACGAAGACTCCGTAAGCCTCTCAAATCAAGTTCCTGGCCTTCTGCAACTGTAGAAATTCGCTTATCTCTGATGATCGCGTTCAATCCGGTTGTTGGGTGTGAGAACTTCATATAGTCGCCATAGGCGTTCAGCCTCGACCGTCCATCCGACTGTGCACTACACTGTAGTTATGAGTAATGAGCAAATCTTCACCGGTCCCAAGCAGGGCCGGCTCCATCACGCCAGTTCCAAAAGAACCAGCCACGAGAAGCCTGGCCGCTGCGAATCACACGGACCATGGAAGATACTCTCTTGTGTTCTGACTTCTTGACCCAATCATGCTAAAGTGTCGGACAACACCAATATGCAAATTATGGAGCACACCATTCACTCACGATCACGAAGACCTTACTGAAGACTCTGCATCCATGAGCTCACATCCATCAAGCCTTCGAGTAAGCTTGAAGCTGCGCCCTGCCAAAAAGGTTCATGGCCTGACACATGTCAGACGTGTTGCAGATTGCACACCTGTGGTGCAGCTGGTGCTACTGCCAGCAGAAGCGACGAAGCAAGCCGGAACGTCCCCGAAAACTACTTTGCTCCTGTCGCATGCAGTCCAGCCACCTCTTTCGGACACATCGCTGAGGCAGCACGGCCGCCAAGCGCAAGGCTCCACCTGGTGTGCGTTTCTGTGGATGCCATGCACTTGACTGGGCAGCTCTTCTTCCGAGCGGCTCTCCAACCACGGCAGGAAACCTCCGACGGTGCAGCGCAATGTCCAGGACTAGGGAAGGCTAACTATACACGACCTACCTTCTACGACTTCTCCTGCGAGGCTTTCAAGTGCCTTCTGCTGTGTTGAGCGGCAGCTGCCGCAAATGGATTTGAAGACATTGTAGCTTGAGGGTCGCGTGTACCCGAAGCCATGCAGGAGGATATTGGCATCTTTCCTGCATTGCTTCAACAAAAGTCTCAGTTCTCATTGCTCTGCCCCGAGCTGCTTCGGCACGTCATGGGTTTGTTCCGAAACGATTGTGCACGGGAAAGCATGGCCATCAGACGACTGGGACGTTTTTACACGAACACGAGATCATCCAAAACAACTGCCTCAAGCACTTGTGTATGCATCCATCCATACTTATTTCGCCGACCGCACTGGTTGCACTGAGGGAGTCGCTCTTGGAGTTCACGGCCGTGGTCTTCAACGGCCCGGAGGTGCTGCCAGGCGCTACGGGATCCAGAAATCCATGAGCGGGCAAAAAGATCTGCTTCTCTTCTCAAGGCCTCTGCAAGAGTCATGCGATTCCATGTGTCTTCGAAGCAGTGGTAGTAGTGAACCTGATCGTTAACTTAGTCAGGCTACCTCAAAAAACGGGTCACATGCGAAGCTCACACTGGACAGTAACTTCACCAAGCAAGCAGCATCGAAGCAGGTGTTGCTGTGTCGTCCTTTTGAAACCTGACGCCACCTTTGCTCGGAGCACATCACCGAGAAAGCGCATCGTGCTTGAGGTTGGCTGATCTACCACACAAGAACCCACCCATGACACGCTCATGATCTGACTGGCTTCACGCGACATCCTGCACTGACCCTGGCATGCCGGCACAAATAAGGGCTTGGCACCGCTTCAAACCTCGAGATAACGAAGGGAAAGCATGACGATGGAGAAAGGTAGCCGGAACGCAAACTAAACAAACGGGAATCTCACTCAGAGTTTAGTTACAAGGTTTAAGTTGTTGGTTCAGCTAGGTGGGATCTCAATCTCACTGAGATACAAAACATTAGCCTCACCTAGTTGCATGCCAACTGCTAACAACACATAATTACAAGCCAAAACTCGACCTGAACAACCGCAGGGTATACTGCACACAAGGTGGCGTGCGCACGCAGCATGCCAGGGCAGAATAAACTCGCAATGCAATCAAACGTGTTTTCAACTTCGGCAAGCTGCGTTCGGAGACACCGCTGGAACACCGGAAGCACCACCGTGACCTGTCACGCTTTCGCAGCTTCAGAACTTGCCATGTTCGTGATGTATTTCATCCGTCTTGCAGCTCAAATCCGCTCTCCGTCGCCCTACCCACAACCTCGCAGCAGCGAAGAGGAAGGAAATGCATGAGTGGGTGAATGGTGGCAGCCACTGGGCGATGCAGGGAGTAAGACGTTCAGTGACCTGCAATCTGAGAGAATGCGCCAGGTGCCTACGAGCGGTCCAAGACTGTTGTTTTGTTTGTAGCGTCGGACTTAGGTCGGAAGTCTCGTTGCAGGCTTGGTGACCTGCTAATTCGGGTGCACTGCAGCTACCAGCTTCACTGAACCTTCCTTGCGCCGGTGTCTGCTGAATGCTGGGCTGGTAATTGCAGATCCCGGATGTGTCAGAGACGCCACAGTTCTCTTGACTCTGCGAATCTGTCCATGGGTGGTAATTCACTATGACCCGTCGAGTTCGGGGACTAAGGGTTTCCAGGGATGCTCAACCCAAGTGGAGGTGTAGCTTGGCCAAAAGGGTTACAACCCAAATCCCTTTTGGGCGCGGCGAACGGCAATCTCGCAGACTCGGAGCTTCGATCAGCAAGGGCTTACAGACGCTTTGATTATATCTCATCGCACAGTGAGTCCCGATCACGGCCGAATCCACGTCTACATGCCTTTCACCGATTACATCAATGCAGATGGCGAAAGGGACGGCGGCAAGCAACACTGCATCTAGATGCGAATTCACCCAGAGCTACGAAAGCGCAGTCCCATCCTCTGCCCTCCGCACAGGACGTTCGAGAGACCTGAGGATTTCTTGACTCAGCTTACCCCAGGTCCTAGATTGAGTGAGTGAAGCTAACCCCAAAGCCAGTAGATCTCGCGGCCGTCTGGCATTCTGTGTCTCAGACACAGCTGCATCATCGTGTCACTGGCAAAAACCGAGCGCCTCCGCCCTTTCTGTAGACACTACGGTTCAAGTTTCAGGACCTGCCACGGTCTACGTAGGATTCACACATGGCTGTGGCGACCGGAAAAGCTTCGATCATCGAACAAAAACTGGCTTCCCTCAGAACGCCTGGCAAGCCATTGCATGAGAAATTACAAACTGGCTGACACTGCTCGTAGCTCTCACATGCTCTCATCGTATTGGTCATCGTTTAGTTCCCGAGCTTGAGAATCTTCCCGAAAGCATGGCACGCTAGATCTGCCCAGTCCAGACCGATCGACGCACTCCGCTCGGTGTAAGTCTACGCAGTTGCAGGTGTCAGATTCACCGCGAACGAGCTGAAACTGACGGGAGAGCTTGTAACTTTCAGGAACCGTGCCTGTGCAGCCCTGGGCATTCCTTATGGTTTGTAGACCTGCGCACATGGGCACTCGGTTTGTTGCGTAAAAAGACGACACGCCGAACGGACCTCGTGAAGATCGTCTTCAGCTACCAATGACATCCTTCCTGCAAGCATATGCAGGCTGTATCTGACCCGATCTACTACGGAACTACTGTAAAAGCATGTCCCTGCAGGCTTCAACATCCCAGGTCCTCTTGCATGAGGAAGTTCTACCCAAAACTCGTTCGCCTGCACACAGTGCAATTGACAATTGACCTTCCCCTGCGCAGTGCAATTGACAAATTGGCTTTTGATCTAACAGCAAGAGCCGCATGGGGAGCCCGGCCAAATCACCATCCGCATCTCGAAACAATGGAGGGTCATATCGCTTGCTGGCCATTAGCCGCTTTGCCTTGGATAAAAAAGCAGAACTCAAGTGACGGGCTCGAAGATGCTGAGGTGCCTTGGATTGGAGCCAGGTTGCCGCGACTTCTGCTGCTGCGCGTTTCTTTGCCGTCTCTGCCGCCCATTCTGCCTCCATGCGGGCCATCTCCTGAGAAGGTGGGGCCCATAAGAACCATGCTGAAGCTCAAAGAACTCCCTACGCACAGCGAGGAGTAGCCCTGCCAGAAGAGGAGCCCTTTCGAGTCAAGTTCTGTATCCAAGCCCCGTCTCCCCTATAACACGTTGCCTCCTGTTCTTCGGGACTCCTCTCGTTCGGAGCTTTCCTTGGTTCAGGTGGCGCACGGCGTGACATTTGAAAGCGGACCTGGTCATGATCTTGCTATGGGGTAGATTCGATCGCAAGCCCCCATGTCGGATCCTTTTGTTTGGTGACACAGGACAAACAGGAAAGCCATCCACGACAACGGTCAGAACCTTGACAAGCTGCCCTTTTCTGGGTCGCTTCCTTCTTGTCTCTTCCACTTCAACTTCTGGGTCCTTGCCCTGCAGGGTTCAATCTGATTCACTGTCACTTCCAGGGAGAAACCGACATCACTGTGACAACCTTGGACATCGGTTTAGTCCCACTTGGCCTTTCCCTCAGGAGGCGGTGTCCGGCTGCGCTCACGTGTACCAGCACCAGCATCCTTTCGGGATCCACTGCACAACTCAGACTCACTACCCAGCATAGGCATGCCTCCTGGACGAGTCTGTGCAAAGCCATGCTGTTGCCAGTTTGCTCAAAAAAGTTGCTAGAGCTTCGGCACCCGGAAGTGCGACAATCAAGTACCTGGATAGACTTGCAGCTGCAACTCTTCGGTAAGTCACCTCCATGTCTGCATCTTCGGCTGTCATGGCCCCCACCTTAGCGAGTGCCCGACAAAGCCCTGCTCTGACAAATTGCACATTGACATGGCCGCTACATTGATGTTCCAAAATGCAATCCAATTTGCTCTCGGACCACCCTGGTGACTTCCACGTTCTTGAGCCCGAGCAGCAGATTAAGGGGGCAGGCGGAACTCTCACGCCAGGAGTTTAACGTGATTCTGGCCCAAGAACAGTCTCAGGCCCTCAAGCGAGCCGCTGATGTGTTTGCGAAGCAGAACCTAAGCTACTGGGGCTGACCTGCCCCAAGCAAGACATGACTTATCTGACTCTACGTGCAGGATGAATGCAACAGAAGTGACATGTCGAGCACTTTGTAGCTACAGATCCCGCACCATCATCTGCCTAGCCTTCAAAACATGGCTGGTGGGCCCTGTCTGTCATGCCAGCCTTGCGAATGACGTCAACTGCCTCAAGCATGTGATGCGATGCACTTGCACCATGAGATCGTCTCCCGCAACCCGCAGCAGTAAGTCAACATCCACGACCGGCCCGCAGGCACACTCTCGCAATGCAAGCGGCCGAGCAGTGGCATCTCGGTTCGATTGGGTGCTTGCGATTGCGATGCTTGACGTTGGAACGAATGACGCAGGAGGAGAAGTGATGCACACCGTCCACTCTCTGGATCCTTCTTTTCAAGGGCTTGGACCGCGACCATGCTTGCACTCTTGTCTTCCCAGCTCGGAGCACACATCATGGGAGCATGCACTCCATGCACAGCTGGTGCTTGCCTCATATATTTGTCCATGCATGTTCGAGGTCATAGAGCTTGCTGAAAGTCAAGGTCGGAGCGAAAACGGCTTAGCTTCAGGTTGTTTCGATCTGTGCACGCAAACATTCGAAGCCTTTACTTTATGTTCCATCGTCACGTCGGACTGCTCCGGCAGGCCTCGTCGTAGAATCTGGCGAGGATGTCTGCGGGAATCAGACGTGATGGCTCGTTGCACACGGCAATGCCTGTCACCTGGAATGCCGAATGATGCAGACTCCACACGGACAAAGCCAGAATGAACACGATTCCTAAATGCAATTGCCATGCTAACGTCTTTTCAAGCACCTGAAGACACTGGGACGTACCCGACATGTGCTGGGCTTTCGGCACATTTCCTGCCGCTGTATCGCTGGGCAACAACCTTGCCGTCAGATGAAAACTAGTACTCACAACAACCTAGGTTACATCACTTGGTTACGACCCAAGTAATTGTTGCCGCCTGCCTCTGGAACTAATGTGAAAAAGAACCTGTCGCCTTATGATGCGAGCAGACATGTTAGGGGAGAGCCCTATGGCAGTGCCAGTCGGACCTCAAGAGCTTTCAGCGTCTCCACCCTTCGCCACTGTTGCCATGCCTGGGACGACAAAACTCTCTGCGAGAATCATGTACAGCGACACTTTTCGACAGCATCGACATACAGTTGCGCAGTGGTCTGCGCACGAGAACAAGCAAGCGTTCGGCCTTGCTGGGGAGCCATGCTAGAAAACAGAAAGGCTCGAACCCAGTTCGACTCTGGCCGCTGCCGCCGGCCACATGGAGCGTCCGGACCTAGAGAAATGTCCAGCTGACGATTAAGCGATGTTCATCAAGCACTCATAGTGCATGGGTGTGCGTAGCTCATGGGTCCGAGCTTTCTCCACCGGGGCAGCCGTGCAGATCTAGCAGCACCTGCGCAGTTCCATGCCCAGATAGATGGAGACCGCTCCTGCCCCCATCTGCTCTGCGGCTACGAACTTTGGAGTTGGATCCCGACAACCTCAAGGTTGTACTCCTCCGCCCACTCGACAGCACGGTCCAGAATATCGAGAGCTGGCCCCTCAGCGAAGTGCCGCATGCGATGAATTCCCCCCGCAGTTTCTGTGAGCGTTGGCGAATCAGGTGAGCTGCCACGTATGGTTCTCCGGCTCCGGGGCCGAGAACAATCCAGTAGCCAAAGGGCACCTGTCCCAGTGATTTCATTACATTGCCTTTCAGAGACTCATAGGCTCACCCTCACTGAGTTGAGCCCCATGTCGCGGATCGCCCGGAAGTCCTGCAAAGAGCTGCAGGACACGATACCGCAGCACTGAGCGGGCTTTCATGGAGCTTCTGTGAAAAGACCAACCAGCTCCTCAATTCGCTTACAGCAGTCCTCTTTGCGGATGAATGTTTCTCTGTGACGATGAAGGACGTGCAAGGCCTGTTTCCATACAGACTATGCCAGATGCTGAAGATGCCGTGAATGCAAAGGCCTGACGACTCCTCAAAGATTCCATCAGCGACCATTCGCAGCGGATCTGCGGCTCGCCTGCGAAACCGCTTCTACTTCAAAGCGAAAAGCGACGTGACACGCAGGCCTGGAAAAAGAGGAGCCGACGGACCGGGCTCAAGCAAAAGCCAGCCACCTAGATTCACCCCGCACCTTGGTTGGACGATATGCCGGAGATCTTTGGCTCTGAGAAGATCTTGCCAACTCGAAGCCGGATCAAGCTCAACAGCTAGATGCAAGATCAGCTTCGGATCCTCGCCATGGGCACCTGCACTTCGCCTCTCAGGTCCGGGCCATGGCCTTCGGTGCGCAGGCGAGATTGTGCCTCGCGCAGAGGAAGAGCGAGCGTTGCATGGCTTCGTCTAGTGGTCTCGCCCGACTGCACGGCACGAACTATTCTTTCCGAAAGTCACTGTAGCCAGGCGTGCTGCGTCCTGTCCTGTTGTGCACATTTCTTCGATTGCATTTGTATGCTGACAGTCAATAGGGAATCCTTGGCCAGCCCTCATCGTAAGATGGAGATCGTCACGAGACGACAGCAAACAGCAGCCAAAATGCTGCCTTCCAGAGATAAGATAAGTACAGATGCTGTGTAGCCAGACTGCACAGTAGTATCAAGTCGTGCTAATGCGACGATACGGTCTCGAGTCAAGCCAGCGAGAAGCGCTGGAAGAGCTCTCCCAAAGCACTCCATGAAGGCGATCTCGAAGTAAAATGAAGCAAAGACCTTCAGACCAGATGGAATGATCGGCCAGTTGAGTCGGATATTCTCCACCAGTCTTGCCCTTCATCAATCGTCACCTCTGAGTCGTCACACCAGATGAACTTGCAGCACCAGCAGAAACTTGATCTCGAAGGAAGAAGTCCAGCTTTTCTTCGTAAGCATCTAGCCTCCAGGGACAATATCCCACTGCAAGAGTCTGAAGCATGTGAACTTGAATCCGAACCTGGTTCCGAACTCGAAGCCATGAACCGTGCATACATGATACATGCCACTGGCTATACGCGCATGCAGCGCAAACTCATCTCATACTGTTCGGTTGCAGGAAGACCGCCGGAACTAAACTAGTTCACCACATGTCGCCGCCGTGAAATCTTCCCATTTCGTGCTGATCAAATTCAAGCGTCCCATGTGGGAGAAGTGCGTGCGCAGCATTGGAGATCTCCTCCACAGCAAAAACATTTGCAAAGGAACTCCGGATGACAGGCAACCATTCTCGCACAAGAGCTGCCGGGAACTGAAATCTGAACTTGCCACAAGCATCTCACGAACTATGCAGCAAAGCTCCCGCATGGCCACGGTCGCAAGATCACCTGCGGCAGAGGCACAGGCATGAAAAGGGTGCTATTTGCGCATCGCTACGTCCCACACCGTCTCACACTCACCTTGTACTGTTTGACATGCCACAAGTCTGTGTGCAAAAGCTGCATGGATTCGCATGTCATGCATGCTCCCGGGAACAGTCTCCTCGATGAAAACGCGGATTGTACGTAAAAGTCTCCGAAGCTTGCTCTGACAGCAATCATCTGCGCGCATACTGACCTCCTTGCCTGGTGCAGCAGCTCGCAAGTTGGAATACCTGAGTGTGACAAAGTCGCCGAAAGTTCATTGCCCAGGCCGCTTTAGAATGCATCAAGTCGATTTCGATACTGTATAAACTCCATAGGACATTTACAACCTCTGCACACATTCCCAGAAAAAAATATTCTCTCTTGCCCAATACCCGGCAAATTGCCCAGCTCTCAGCATGCCGATTGCGTTGGTAATTCGCCGGACCGACGCCAGTGGGCCGCTGTCAAGCTCCTGTCAAGCATGCCCTGCTCTAGGACATGTTCTAGCGCACCATGGCGGGACGCGTTCCAATAAGTGAGGAGACGATTGCTTCTAGTTGAATGCAGTGGACAGCACATCTCGCGGCTGGAGACGTCGTGATGATGCAACCCTACCTGAGTGTATGCTGATCCTGTAGAACTGACCTCACTCGCTCGAGAGGATCGTGGGTCTGGTATTCTACCAAGTACGGGTGACACAGCTCTATGCTCTATGGTCATAGAACCGCTCCACCACGGAACCAGCATGGATGTAGCCTGTAGCACCAATGTGCTTCTGCCTTAGAAGCATGACATCCCTTATCTATCAGGGCAGATGCTCTCATTGACAGCAGTGTCTATGATCAGGGTGTGCAAGCACGCCATTGCTGCAAACTTGTCTGGGCTTCGAATGAAAAGCGAGAAAGAAGTAGTAAGCCTCAAGCCTTGCGCGGTCATTTGCTGAATCAAGTTGCACATCACGCAGCACATCCATCGGAGTCCGACGCCGACCACGACTGGCCACCTGCCGCTCTAAGGAATCCCTACTGGAGCATGTGGGGAAAAGGTCGACTTCAGGGAGAAAGCAGACCCCGCCTCGTCATCCGAGTCTGCTGGCAGCCGTGGCACCAGGTCGAACCTGACACGAGGTTCGCGGGAGTGCGCGTTTCTGGTTGAGGCTTGGGTCAGACAGGAATTGCAGAATATAGAAATCGCAACATTACTTTCGTCCAACCAAGTGGCTTGTTCACAAACCTGGCTGTGCGCGGAACTTTTCTTGCATAGAGGGCCGCGAAACTTGCATCTCCCACACGAGGAGACCCCCAGGTAGCACACTCAGCTTCCTGAGCGGCTGGCAGAACATTCACATTGTGAATGTCCAACACGATAGGACGCAGCTCAGAATGTTGTTCATGAAACATCGAATAGCTCTGCAACCGGACGACACTGTACCTGAGACCATGTGCACATACGTCGTACACATCCTGCATGACAAGACAAGATCTGCATAGACAGGTTTAAGCCTGAATCGCGAGATTCCTTGCTGTGTCTGCGCGGTCAAGCGGCGAAACCTCGACATGTTGCTAGGTCCAGGCCTGAGCAACGATGACCAAGAACTCGTGTCAGAACGAGGTTTCAGTCGAAAACACTTGCTCAGGTCACGGCAAGCCAGCATGGCCTGCAAGGCGGACAGGCTCAAGCCACATCTCTGAAACACCTTTGAACTAAGCCTGCATAGAAGCTTTCAGCGCTCTTTCTGCTCCAAGGCACCAGTGCCCCACCAAGGCTGTGTCCAGTCGCCCGTAGAAGCACCCTGCTTGCAGCAACGTTGAACTTCGCCAGATCTGCATCCATCCTAGCTCACGTGCTGTTGGATCACGCACAGAAACGGAGTAAGTCAGTAGGGGAGGTGTCAGTTGGAGCGCCTTCCCAGAACTCCAGATCTGAGCGCCATGTATGCATCCTGGCATCAGGCAAGAACCGAAGTTTCCTGCAACAGCTGTCTTGTTACCCAGATTTGCAGCAAAAAACCGACACTGACTTATTCTCTTCGTCTCCTGGAATCCACGATGAACTCGAGCAGCGGAAATAACTGCATCCCCGAGATCGCAGGGTACTAACTCCGCATACAAATCGGTCACGAGATTCTCCTGATTAACCTGACTGGTCAGGACGAAAACTGCTCGAGCACTGCCCTCCCACAAAAGAGCATGGACCGATCCAACAGAAGTGAGGCTGGCTGGCAAAGCACCGTACCGCGAAAAGCAAGGTGGATCACTACGTCTGCATTTGGCAGGTCACATCGACAAACCTTCAGGGCAACATCTCTGCTCAGATTCGGCAATCCAGGCTTGGGGTCACTGGCGCCTGGATCAGAGCTCGGAGCTGCTCTGGCTCACTATCCTGCCGCCACGCCGTCGGGTCAGCCAAGACCTGCAACGGGCCGCACTCCCAGAAAGCACTGGGTTCCTGGCCAGCAACTTTGCGGAAGCAGCCTTTATGTCAAAATGACATACCATGACGAAGGCAGAAACATCAAACAGGCTGTCGGCTTAGCCTCTCGTCTGCCAGATCCCTCCTTCGGCCTCTGACTCGTTCGGCTCCAGGTTTTTGCTGTAAGCTCGGCGGGCACGTCTAAGTTCGGAAAAACACCTCAAAAGTGGCCCATGACACTCGTCTCTAGGGGACGCAAGAGAACGGGGCAATGCATGTCCCAAGTCTAGCAAGGGAAAAGCAAACACAAAGACGACCTATACAGCATGTCGGAGATCAAAAGTCTTGTCGTCTTGCCACCCCAGTGCCTTTCACGGTTTTGCACAAGCTCCCCGGCAAAGTTGGCCATGGCCGAAACAAGGCATCTTTACAAGCCGTATGCCATCGGAACCATGACATGCAACACAACGTTCAGAACATTCAGCACAACCATCGGGACATGGAGCACATGTGCATCTTCTTGGAGAGCCAAACGCATTCCCAATCAGATCATGCATTGCTCGCACATTAGGCGCACGAATCCTACAGGCCTTCGGCTGTCCCGGCTCGGCACATCCAAGAAACAGCCAGGCCTGTAGGTCAACTGTTGCATTGAACAAATCACTCCTTGAATGCATCAGCCTGCCTCAAAATAGCAGCAACGAATTAAACTGAGCCGAAACATGCGCCAACATGCAAAACATTCTTCCAATGCCCATGACTCAGGCGCATCACGATCTCATGCAGAAGAAGGGTCGAGAACTTCAATTCCCCGGTTGCCAACCCGCTGAGCATGCCCAAAGGACTCGTGTTGACAGCAGGTACTGCAAGATAGGACCTGTGCACGAAACCACGAAATTACAAATGTCTGCAAGTGAATTTCACTACCGAAGTCCATCGCGAACGAAGCAACTGCGGAGAAAGTTGCGAATCTACGCATTGCACAAAAACCGAAAACTTGAAGGCGCTCTCAGCCTTAGTCGCTGTTCTTCGGAACTGCAAAGTAGAGAAACGAGCGCCACCAAAAATGAAGAAAACCCCAAGAACCATAGAGACAACATGCATTCATCCCTCATTCATTCATCCATTCATTCCTTTCGTTCATCCATTCATCCATTCATCCATTCATCCGTTCATTCAGTCATTCGGACGCTTGTGCAGGGGCGGGCATCGGAGAGGAAGGTGAGACTGCTTAAGAATGGCTAGCTGTGAGGGATAAGCGCAAGGTGTTGGCCGAAGCATGCCATTCCGTGGGATCCGCAACGAAACTTCTGTGAGGTCGCCTCCCAGACGACTTCAACTTCATTCTTCCAACTGCAAGGAAGCCTCCGGACCAACACCATCAGCTGCAGCGCAGACATGCCATGCTTAGCACAGCAACGTTTTCGGAGCAGTGCAAAGTCGCTGCCGAAATCGTCCGCATTGATTTTGGCGAACCCGGTCTGCAAAGTCAATGGCAGGCCTGGAGCGCATGGCAATCGTCCACCGACGGAATGCCTTCCAATTGCGTCTCCTGCTGTCGCGGACTTGACTCTGCCTCTT